GAGAGATGAGATATCAAAGCAGGAGGCCACGCTCAGCATGATTAACAGGACTCCCGGAAGGAGAAGACGGAGAAAAGAGAGGAGAAGCCATCATAAAAGAGATAGTACCAAGAAACCCTCCCAGAGCTGAAGAATCTGATCTCCAGACTAAAAGCTCATCGATGCAACAACACAATGGATTTGCAAAGACTCACATCAGGGCACAGCATCCTGAAACCTCAGATGAAGAGGAACAAGAGGAGATCCTAGAAGGCCCTCCTGGCAGTGGAGGGGGGTGGCGTCCACATACAATGTACAGCACAGGAGACTTCTCCAGACCAACTCCGGAAGACTCTGAAGCAATACCTTTGATATTCTGAGAGAAATCTTCATTCTATATTTCTCTATCCAGTCAAACTATTAATCAGATATGAAGATAGAATAAAGACTTTTTCAGACAGGCAAGGATCCAAACATTGTACTTCTCATATACCCTTTCTCTGGATTCCTGGAGGATGTTCGCCAGTGAAACAATGGTATAAAACAAAACCCAGGAAGACCTGGGATCCAGGAAACAGAGGACCCATTCCAGAGCTGGGTGAAGAAAAGAAAGGATGCAGAAGGGGAGTCCTGGGGTGGGGGCTGCAAATAAGGGCCAGTACAGACTGAAGCAAGAGGATGGAGGCAAAGGCAGCAACAACAAAACCAAACCAAAGAGGGAAACCGATGCATTATCTGATGCATGTGGAAATTAATGTCAGTAGGCATTTGGGAATCTGTAGGAGCTTTTGGAAAACACTGAGGGGTCCTTAGAAACTAAACAAGTAACAGCAAGGCAATTATTACCTTTAGGTCAAACAACTGGTGGTCTGAAAAAGGAATCACAACCATAGGAAGCTACTGGGATTAGTCATAACAATGTAACGCTGGCAGCTGTGCCTTCTGTCCAGAATTGCACTAATGCCATATTGGGAAGATGGGAAAGGGAAAGTGGGGGCGGGTGTACAGGGGACCTTACTCCTTGCCTAACTTAATGAGAACTCAATAAATCTAAAATGGATCAATCAAAGAAAAACTTCCTGTGCCAATTTTGTTGAAATACGCAAATATCAGAAGAAACAGCTAACATTGTTAAAAGTGGTGGGACTTGGAGGTTGGGCTCTTTTTCATAATAAGCCACTTAGAACCATTGGACTTTTTTTTTTTTTGATGAAGATTAGCCCTGAGCTAACTACTGCCAATCCTCCTCTTTTTGCTGAGGAAGACTGGCCCTGAGCTAACATCCATAGAACCATTTGACTTTTAAACTATGTCATGCATTACTTTGATAAAAATAAATATTAATGCTTTAAAAGTGAATACAATAAGGACTCGGAGGAAGCAGGAATAAATAGCTTATTTTATCTGAACACTTAGATTCTACTACATGGTAGGAATTGTTCCCTAAGAAACAGGGAGGGAGCTGGTGTTAAAGCTCAGCTGGGTCAACTCAAGCCTCGGGGATGAGCATTATCCACAGGTTCTGTGGCTGGCACGGCTCCTGGGCTCTTCAAGGCCTCCAATGTGCCAGAGGGCAGCGTGGGTGGCACAAGGAAAACTGCAGCCAAGATGAACAACTGGGGTCTGAATCCAAATGAGCAGGCCTACCTCAACAGGAGCTCATCATGTGCCAGGTGCAGAGCTAACCGTATTCATGCTTTATCTCCCTTAATCTTCCCAAGAAGGTTGTGGGGTCTTTTAATATCCTGGCTCAACCAAAGAGGAAAATTAAGCTTGGAGACATTGAGAAGGAGCCCGCACTTATCGCATTCACAAAGAGGCAGGGCTGGGAAGGGTACCGAGTCTGTGGGACACCAAATCTAAACTCTCATCACCATCATTCTGCCGCAGGGCCTCCCACGATCTTACATATTTACAACTGGGTAGAACAGGTCACACGGCCTGTTCAACCACGTCCGGTCTTTTGTCTTTGAGTACATGCCTAACCTCTCTGACATCAGTTTCTTCCCTCTATAAAGCTAATGATTCCATTTATAACTCTCTCATGAGGCTCCAATAAGATAATATATGTGAATTGTTTTAATAAATGCTAAATGTCAATTTATGCAAATGAAAATATTTTTGACGATGGGAGGGAGACTGGCGGTCTTGTGTTGCTTTTTGGTCTTCTATATAAACTTCAAAAAAGCCATCTGTGGGTCTTTTGCACAACTGAGCTCTAGCACAGACACTGAGAGGAGATAGCTGGACTTCTGGAAGGACATACCCATCCAGGTCGGCAGCTTGACCCTAAATCTGGCTGCCTCCGAATGCACCATCACCTCCACTTGGGGAATCTGTGATATTTAGTCCTGAGGATTTCTTCTTTTTTTAATCTCCCATTAATCCCAGAATCCTCCACGAGCACGCTGTTCTGAAGTGCTGTAGCCTCCAGCATTTGTGACTGGACCGAACTGAACAACTCCAAGAGAGAAACTTTCCTCTCCTATATCCAGATGTCTATACAAGCAGATTTGGGGCAATTTTGTACTTGCCCAGGTTGAGGCAGATTTCATCTGTTCAGCGACTTGGCGGACGTTTACCGCCCAAGTCTGCCACCTGGTGGACGGCGCTCCCTTTTTATTCCTGAACCTTTCCAAAGTGCTTTCCTATTCATTAAATAAAAACCGTCCGATGCTCCTGCAGTCTGTGAGGCAAGTAAGGTTGGTCTAACTAATTCCACTTGAGGATGAGATAACGAGAGTTTAGAGAGAGGAAGGAATTTGCAACTTCCTGGAACTACATTTAGGGTCTTTTTCCTCCATTCAGCAAAAACCCAAAATACCGTAGTCTGAGTGCTCTGGGTTTGAGCCCAATTTAAGTCCTGGCTCGGCAACTGGCACCCAGCAAGATCCTTCACAGAACTGAATTTGATCACAACCAGGCTCTGCGTTACTTTGAACACTTGCATTGGGCGGAACTATTCTGTGCAATGAATGCACTGCAGCGCTTCCAGAAGGTCGAAGAAGATACCATTTCAACGCATGTGTGTGTGTTTTGATGTGTAGTGGGTCACTGCAATCTCCCCAAACTGGGTGTAGTTAAATGTGAAAATATAGGCAAGGGATCTCCTTGGACGCCTTCAAATGCAGCCATTGAGCACTTGACAACAGGGGCACTTGGCTTGACGTTCTCTGGGCTGTGGGGGCATCCTCCACTCCAAGGAGAGTCTGCCCTCCACGGCGCAGTGCAGCCCAGCGGCCGAGCTCTGTCACCTGGAGTCAGGCTGTCAGCTTCACCGCCCACTGACCCCGCCATTCTGTAGATATGTGACCTCGGGCAGATCTCATAACATCCCTGCACCTCATCTTCTTCACAAGGATAAGAGGGACAAAAAATAGTATTTGCCTCAAAGTTGTTGTGAAGAATCAGCCACACAACTTACAGAGAGCACGCAGCACCAAGCCGGCCACAGTGTGACCTGAGTAAAGACCAGCTCCTCTCCATGGTTGTTAATAAGCCGACCTAAGCTGCACTCATGGGACCTAAGGGTGCATGATGGGGGCAGCAGAGAGGGTGTTTACTTTAAATGCATTCTCCTAGTTGTGGTTCTCAACCTGGGTGGTGTCCTGCAAGCCCTCGCCCCAGGGAGGGGGTGTGTGCTGGAAACGCGTGTGGGCATTCTGAGTTATCCAATGAAAGGAAATGCTACAAGTATAGGAGGGAACTGGATGCAGTGCAGGAGACTGTCCCACTCAGTTAACAACTGACCCTTAAATAGACATTTCTCTAAAGAAGATGTATAAATGGCCAATGAGTGTACGAAATGATGCCCAATATCACTAGTCATTAGGGAAACGCAAATCAAAACTACAACGAGATACCACCTCACACCCACTAGGATAGCTATTATCAAAAAACCCAGAAAATAACAAAACCAGGAGGTGAAGAAACTGGAACCTTTATGCACCGTTGATAGGAATTTAAAATGGTGCAGTCGCTCTGAACAACAGTATGGCAGGGTTCCCCCAAAAATGAAAAACAGGATTACCATATGACCCGGCAATTCCATTCTGTGTATAGACGCAAAACAAATGAAAGTAGGGACTTGAACAGATATTTATAAACCCACGTTCATAGTGGCAAAATTCACAACAGCCAAAAGGTGGAAACACCCCAAGAGTCCATTGATGGATGAAGGAGTAAACAAAATGTGTTATATACACACAAGGGAATGTTATTCAGCCTTAAGAAGGAAGGAAAGTCTGACAGATGCTACAACATGGGTGAAGCTTGAGGACATTTTGCTAAGTGAAATCAGCCAGACAGAAAAGGACAAATACTGTAAGATTCCACTTATATGAGGTACCGAGAGTAGTCAAATTCATAGAGACAGAAAGTAGAATGGTAGTTACCAGGGACTAGGAGGGTGAGGGGAATGGGGGTCATTGTTTAGTGGGTACAGAGTTTCAGTTGTGCAAGATGGAAAGAGTTCTGGAGATGGATGCTGGGGATGGTTGCACAACAACGTGAATGTGCTTACTATCACTGAGCCTTGCACTGATCAATGGCCACGATGGTAAATTTTATGTGTATTTCAGCACAATTAAAGAAAATTTGCCTCACCTAAAGTACCAATAGCATCCGTTTGAAAGATACTACTAGAACATTTCAAAATGGTCAACTACAGATGCATTTGGTAATAAGAAATTCATTGATACTTGAGAGACCTAAGGTAACTGGTGCATTTGTCATACTTGTCTAGTTTCTCCTTTGTCTCAGCTGACAGGTTATGGAGACCCCCTAAAACCAGGCGAAGGAACACGTCCAAGGAGCCAAAAACACAGTGAAGGGATCAGAAGGAGTCACATTACTGACATCTCTAGGGTCATGAAGCTCTCATTTATGTACAGTAATTAATTTATACATTACTTACACTAATCAATAAAATCACCATAGTGGCAACAATTTGGGATTTCCAGCTTCAAATGATACTTTCGGATTTCAGTGGGAAACTCTGAACAGGAAGAAACAGTTCCTACCTTGTAGATACAGGACTTGGCATTCAGAAAGAAGAGCTCGATGGTGGCATTATCCTTCAGGTATGAAATGCTTTCTATATAGAACCTGAAAGAGAAAAACTGCAAATAACCACAGAAGCATCAACAGAGCCGGCAGAAAACCAACTGTTCTCTGAGCTACACGATTTGACGTGAGGACCAGAACTTCCAATCTAAAATGAGCCAAAGAAAAAGGCGTCATCAATTGCTTTCATATGATTCCTTTTTGAGAGAAAACAGTGTTTTTCAAGTCAATTGTCACACCTACTGTCATGCCCGACAGCCCTTACATAGCCAAAGAGCTGGGCTGCCATCAACTCCTAAGGGTGGACTTCAACTTGACCATCTCTTTTCTTTTTTCTTTCTTGCTTTCCAGTTTCTTATAATATTATTTGCTTTCAATATGTTACTTTTTTGTCCTAAACATTGTTGAGCTGGATTTTTTAAAAGAGAATTTCTTTTGCTTAATCGAATAAGGGGCCCCATTTCTTTTTGAAATGCTTACAACCTGTCTTCCCAGACGTGGCAAGGTGTGGTTGGATTTTTGCACCTCCAGAGAGCTGTGGCAAGTGTTTGTAACACTGCGATATTAATGATATTAATGCATATTAAGCGAAATGACTTTTATCCAGATGGAGGTTACAGATTTTTTTTGAGATGAAACATGCTGAGTTAAATTTACATTAAATGTGCTTTTATACATTAACTTTAGAGTTTGCTGAATTCCTTAGATAAGGTACTTGTACGTGTGCAAGGAGCAGCTGCACCAAGACTAGGAGTTGGGAAGAGAGAGGAGAGAGGAGACGGCTGACACGCAGAGTCTCCGAGGAGAAGGTTCTCTATGGGTGTGGAGGGCACTGGACACGTGCCTCGTGGACACTGGGGGTACCAGGAGGGGGCAGAAGGTGAAACGAGAAGGAAGAAGCGTTACAGTCTTCTGAAACTGTGTTACAAGGTGATGGAAAGAATCCTGAGGAGGAAGTCAAGAGACCAGCGATCTGGTGCCAGTTCATGTGATTTAGGGCAAGTCATATACTCCTGCTGGCCTTCTGTTTTCTAGACTGTAAAAGAAGACAGCGGGACGCGGTCAGGGGTTCTCCATCTAGGAAGTGTAGTGGCTTTCAAATATTGGAAAGGAAGTCAGATTAAAACAACAATAAAAACAGCAAAAACAACCAACCAACATTGCACAAGGCAAACAAGACACGTCTGTAGACTACGACAAGCCCGCGGCCCACCAGTTTGCAACCTCTTGCCTGTGGACTAAGCAAATAATATCTTCTATCATTTTTCAAATGTGTGCAGAGGCTGTTGAGATAAATACAATACAGACTCATTTAAATTTGTGAGGGAATCCAGAGTAACTTCAGATAATAGCAGATATTTTCAGACAATGGACGTTAGTACAATTACCATTACGCAAGAGTCTACAAAATTACAATATAGCCCTCATTCCTGCAAAGCCTGTGAATGAGCAGGCTGGCTGAGCTCCACCACCTCATTTCCCTGAAAAAAAAAAAAAGGAGGTACCTGCCTCCTGCTTTTGGAGCAAGTACTTTAGGTCATGGAGGCCTCCATAAAGGGCCTGCAGTGGTCTCAGAGGGGCTGTAAAGTTGTACAATTTTCAGTCCTCTAAAAATAGACTGGAAATGCAGTAGCAAATTCTACATCTCAAAGCAAAAGAAGTTAAATTTGATTTAATTTAAAAATCTACATCTGTTGTAAAGGGCTTTTGGGGACGGGTAGTCAGAATAGCAAAGTCAGAAGGAAGGAGGGAAGGAAGGAAGGAAGGAAACTGAAGGAAGAGAGGGGAAAAGGAAGGGGGGGGAGGGGAAGAGGATGACAAAGGCTCAGATCCAGGTGGTTCAGGAAAATGCCAGCTCAGCTGGGTGACTTGCAGGCGTGGCCTATTATGGACGAATCTTGCTTCTGTGCCTTTGTTCAAGCTATTCCTCTCAACCCCCCAAACAACTCTCCGCCACGTCCCACCTCACCCCTGCTCCCTTGAGCCCTCGTTCAGGATCCCCACATTTTCGCCGACTCCGCTCACCATCCTACAGAAGTGCTCCTCTCCCGGACTCCCTTCCACCTTCTGCTTACTGAGCTGCCCAAGCTCCTGTAAGTTTCTGCTCCCTGGGATTTCTTACTCAGCTGCAAACTCCTTGAGGGCTGGCCCAATCTTACTCATTTTTGTATCCCAGCACTAATTCAGTGCCTGGCACAAACATGAGCTTAGTAAGCATCTGAGAATGAAAGACTGATTTTTTTCACTCTTCTCCCCACTCACGGTTGGTTGAGTTCTTGCTGGACAATGAAATGGGCAGTGAATGCAATGCAGGAGGGAACAGAAATAATAAATGGTTTCCCAGGGGTCATGAAATTCCAGGCTGGGGGTCTTATATTCCACATCTGACCCCTTCCATCACTGTTAACATGAAAAGTTGTTCACACAAAGCTGTTAGTGACCTTGGTGCCTAAGGCCAGAGTAATAGCGGAGGCTTCTTGAGGTGGACAGTGATTGTCCATAGTTATGCAACAATAATTTTGAGTCTAAAGCTGTTAGGTCTGAAATAACCTAATTTTCAAGGCAATGCCTTACGTCTGTACCACATTTAATTCTTGCAAATTAAGGAGTGGTCACGTTCTGTCCTCTCCAACCCCAATTTTCTCCTCGACTGTATCTTAAGCAAACATAACACTTCCCTCTTCAACTCTCTAATAACGGAAAACTGAAATGAGACAGCAAATTCTGCATCTTCTGCAACAGCTTTCATTTCCACTGAGCTCCATGTCGTCTGGCTATACAAGAGGCAGGAAGGTAGGAGGAAATAACAAGCATATTCTGAGATGAAGAAAAAAATCACCTCCTCTCGACAAAAACTGGAAAGCAGTTTCCTGTTAACCTTTATCACCAAGAAACAGCCTGGAAACCATGTGAGCTCCAGGCTGGTCATATTATTGTTCTGTAACCTTGGATATTTCACTTATCTTGAACTTTCCATCTGTGCTAGAGGACAAAATGCCCAGAGAAAAAGAGACCTCAGTCATCTCAATTCACACACCGACACCCAGTGCACAGGGCAGGAGCACCAGGGAGAAGAAACTTCTGGAGAGGTGGGAGACACTGATGGTTTGGGTTCAAAGTCGAGATTTTCTTTCTTTCTTTTCTTTCTTTTCTTTCATTTTTTTTTTTTCTTTTTTTTTTACCAGTTTCTGATTTTCATGAGAACCTTATTAAAGGTCCTCCGTTTCGGCAGTAGGTGGCAATGTTGCATTTCCTTAACTACCAGCGCGGGCGCTTCCTCGAAAACCTGGTTCACAAAGAACATTCCGGATCTCTACGTAAACCCAAGGAAATGAAGGATTTCTCTGAGATTCAGAGAGTCTGCATGGACAATTCTAAGTCTGGTTCTGGATTAACCATGGGTTTCTGACTCTTTGACATCTGGCGCCCTGCTGACCTTGGAGGGACGGCTCCTCCCAAGGTGAGCCAATTCCTAGAGAGAGTAAAGGACTCACCGGTGAGCACTCGTTTCATATGCAGGCAACCAATCCAGAGCCCACATACCCTTCCTCGCCTCCTCTATGGGGCTCTTAGACTCTGGGGCCACTATCCACCTGCCCTGATCATGCCAGGGCCAGGAACTGGACAGCCTGAGACAGACCCTATGCCCCAAAGCCCGCTGAAATAACTCAAACCAGCCGTCCCAAGCCTGCTGACCTTGTCTCACCCATTCCTTCCTGCAGAAAGCACCATATAGGCCCTTGTCCACAGAGCCCCCTCCCTCTGCCTCCTGACCTGCCTGGTGCGTCCCCATGCGGCCCTGCCCGGCACAGCATGCCCTCTCCTCTTGGGAACCATGAGTAACAAACTGTCTTTTCAATGGCAATCGTCTCCTGATCTGTTGCTCTCACTATCCCTGAAGGATAATAAAACCTGCACATCTAGCAGGACTGACGCTTAGGGCTTCTTCTTGAGTTGAAAGGAACGGTGCTCTAGGCCAAGGGCAAACCCAGCTCTGAGTGTTCCTTGAGCTGCACGAGAATCATACCCAACCTGGCCAGATGGTGCCAACCTGAGAATATTTTATCAGACAGTCTGAAGGAGGAATAATACATGCTATGCTATGATGTGTGTGAGACTATCAAATACTCAGGAGGCTCTGAGGCCCTGGGGAGGCTCGTCCCCTTTAACTGTGGAAGTCTCAGACTGCAGGAGACTGAACACGGCCCAGCCAGGTGATGTCAGCCACGGCTCCTCTTCCGGCCTCCTCCTCTTCCCTCTCACATCCTCCTCTTGGCACTTGGGAATCACCAAATATTTACAGCAAGTGTTAATTAAATGGACCAGTGGTTTCATTTTGTAATGAACACAAATGTCCCATTTTGATAGCAAAATGAGTGATCACCATGAGAAGGATCATTGATCCTGCTGTGAGTTTCCGCGGCCAAATATCTCCGACACTGAGAATTCCAACAGCGCTAAAATTTTATCCCGGACACCCAGTTGAGATCTAGCAAGTTCCTGTTAGCAGGCATCTCACTTGAGATCTGTGCCATCACTGTGACTGTGAGTGACAGGAAAGAGCAATGGCTATCACAACCAGCCAGGAAAGACACCGACAGGCAGGTCATGAACTCGGCTGTAAAATGTGCCCTCCAGATCAAAGCTCCCTGGCAACTCCTTTCTTTCCTTTTTCGCTTGCTCACTTCAGGTTATTGTTTATGAACCTCTAAGTCTGAGAAGACAAATCTAATCTCTGTTTATTTTCCTACAAACAGTGTAGGTGACCAGAGCTACAAGCTCACTTGGCTGGAGAACACACAAATAGAGGAACAGCCAAGACATGGAGGAATCATTCTGAGCACAAACTTGTGTCTATGCAGTAAAAAGACCTAGAGACTTCCTTAGGTGCGTAGACATATTTTAGACCTATTTTCCTTCTATTTTTTCTTGACCTATTTCTTAAGCGTGCCTGGTGAATCCTATCAGAGGGTCACTGTTCTCAAACTTGAGGAGCGTTCCCATAGCACTAAACAAAGATCTTGTAGTTGAACGTGATCTTG